AAATAGCCTTTGACTGAAAAATTATGATTCTTAATTGGTAATTACTCTTTTGTCCCCACTCGTGTAATCCACGCGCGCCTCACATATATATATACACTCGCCCCATGCTACCTTTTTCTCACCCCAATTCCCCCCTTTTTCTAGCATCAAATGAAAAATTAGGGCAATTTTCTCGTCCAATTTTTCTTTACTTTTTTTTTTCTTCTGAAGAAATCTGTATCTGATATATATATATATGGCGGATATTGGATGTAGAAATTCGGCGGCGCGTGGGCAGCCGAACAGGCTGCAGAGGAGGGCGCCGGCTTCGTTGCAGATCTCTCCGGTGACGGATTGGAACGTGGCGATACCGCTTTTGTCGCCGTTGGTTCAGTCGCCCTCCTCCAATAATCCGTCAGCTGAGATTAAGGAGTCGACGGAGGCAGCGGCGGCGAAGCCGGTGGTGGTTATGAAGAAGTGGCAGCACCCGGCGGCGCCGTTCTGCTACGAGCCGACGCCGTTTCTGCCCTTTGTATGTATAGGAAGTTTAGACAGATGACAATTTCCGGAGCCTTTTTTGTTTATATATATATATATATATATATATATATATATATATATATATATATATATATATATATATATATATATATATATATATATATATATATATATATATATATATATATATATATATATATATACCACCAAGATTTGTTTGAACTTCTATGGAGATCTAAAATTTGTGTTTGAGATTAAATTAATTAGTAATGGAGTTGGATTTAAAATAATTATGAGCTTTTTAATGTTGAAAAAAATAGAATTTGAATTAAAAAAAGTTCATAATCACTTTAAAAAATCATTTGCAAACACTACGTAAATTAATTAGCAACCGAGTCGAATTTAATCGAGTCGATTATATCTTATTTATCTCAGAATTGATGATAAATACAAGGGTAAATTACAACATTCTCCCTGAAGTTAAAGTGCAATTACAAAAAAAACCCTTCCATTTGGGAAATTACATCCAACCCTATGTGGTTTATAAATGTCTTACATCCACCACCCCTATAATAGGGTGTTAATGTAAGAAATTTACAAATTACAAGGGAATAAATGTAATTATGAAAAAATGAGGATTGTTTTGTAAATAAAACTTACCTCAGGGGTGATTGTAATTTACCCTAAATACAAAAGAAAATTAATTTATTTGAGCTCCATTCGCTTCTGCTAATGAGACTCAAAAATGATGTTTAAAGTTCGAGCTCGATTTATTTACACTTGTATCTATTTAGTTTGAGGCTAATCTCTCTTAAGTATTTGCCTCTTGGATAGGGATGGCAATGGTGCGGGTATGGGATGGTAATACCTGCCCCATAAAATCCCCACAAGTATCGAGGCGGGTTAAAAATCACAGGTACCGGGGCGGATAATAATCTCCGTCTATTTTTTTTCTTTTTCTTTTTTAATAAATAAATATGCAATCTACTTATAATTTAAAGGCTTATTTCAAAACAAACCAATATTTAATTATAAAATCGAAACCTAAAAATCCCCATTTGTAGCTAATATTTAATATATTACTACTATTTAATTATTTATATTTAATATAATAATTAATAAATATATATTATATATATAAATAATGCGGGACGCGTACGGGGCGGGTTTAGGCAAACCCATCCTTGTACCCGATAAAAAGAAAATCTATCCCAATACTCGTCTCATTTTTCTTTCGAGGTGGGTCGAGGCGAGGATCCATCAGGGCGGATCAAATTGCCATCCCTACTGTTGGAAAATTAATCTCTCTTTGAATGTGCTTCATGATTCCAAGAATATATTGGAACAAAAAAGAAGAAAATAAAGATTCCAAGGATATGCTATTATATATGCTGAACTGTGAGACTAACGTAATTTCAACATTAAATACTAAAAATTCTAATAATTTGTTTGTTTATATACAGAAAATCAACCTATGATGAAAATTTGTGAATTATCAATTATTCTAGGGTCAATTACGGCCCAATTTATGAATAAACTCCTTATGTTTGGGTAATTACAATCAGGTCTCTTAACTATGTATATTCTTACACGTTCATTCTTATAATGTCAAATTTAGCTACTGAAAGAGTAGTTTTTCCGTAAGAAAATACATAGTTGAGTGGGGTGATTGTAATTACCCAAATAAGAGCAGTTTTTTTTCGTAATTTGACCTTACCTCAGAGGATGGCCGTAATTTGTCCATTTTCTATGCTTAAGTTCACTTGGTAATGTATGTTCAGAGTAGAGGATTGACTGAATCTTGACAGGAAGAACACCCAAATTATATGGATCTTTCTTAGACAATGACCGATACTTCATGGGCTACCCGATTGATTACCTTCCCGAAATACTTTAAAAGCGGCAAGAGTCTCACCCATATGTTTAATATCCTCAATGATATTTCTATATTCGGCTCGTGAGTTTTGATCTTCTTTTGATGGCTGCAATAATCTCCAGTGAATTACCTTCTAAAATGATTGTTATTATCTAAATAATATGACTTAGTTTGATGTTTGGTATTTCAATAACTTATTGGGTCAACCTACTATGTTATTATGACTTATCTCGCTTTATCTTGCTTTTTAGGAAACTTTTATTGGACATCTCAGAGTCCGATAAAATAATCATTTCTTCATAAAAATCTTAACTTGATAACCAAACGATACCTGCAACTATCGATTTGGTGTTAGAGATTCTCCTTTTGTCATTTGTTCTTGTCTTTGGGATCTCTCTAAGGTCAAATGTTATAAAGATGATTCGTTTGTTACCACAACAAAAGTCAACTACTCCAACTATAGAGGATTACTTTTTGACAACACCACTCATAATTTAGAGTAGTCCCTATTTGCAAAGTTTGTCCCTTTTATTTATTTATTTATTAAACCATTCAATAGCAATCTAATCCATAGACACATTTTACAAATTAGTAGAGTTATGAAATGGATAATTGTTTGTCTTGTACCCTTTAATTATACTTTATTTGCATCACACACCTTAAAAGTTTGAACCTTTAGTACTTTCCACCACAAAAGTAAATTTGATTTTAGTTAGGACCTTTAGTTTAACTTAACTACTATTCATTCTATTGTTGTTTATTGCAACACATTCTTTTTTCCTTGAAGAAAATAAGTTGACTTTGACTCTATAAAAGTCAAACTTGCAGGTAGAGCAACCCCATATATGGACAGTGGATTCAATCATAACAAAATGGAGCAGAAGGGATCCAACTAATTTTGTCTTATTGTTAAAAAATAAAATTTTATTTAAATCCTAATATTGATTCAAATAACGAAAGTCAAACATTTTTTTTATGGTTATCAATGTCATATATAACTTTGAGAAAATACAAAATATAACAAATCAAATGCCAAATTAATCTTAATATATGGATAATAAAAATAACTTTTTTTCTTGAAATGTTTAGACTAGTTTCAAATTTGAACATGTGGCTAAATCATGAGAAAAGAAGATCAAGAAATGTCAAAATGGTATCTCCCCAAACAAATTAGAAGACTCACACAATGAAATTCAAATAAGAAAAAAAAAAAAAAAAATTAAAAATAGTAAATTATAAAAACCCTATGAAGTTATGCTAAATTATGAAAACACCCCACCTAACCGTAATTACCAAAATCACTATAAATACGAATACATGATGGTATTTTTCATAATTTAACAGAAGTTCATAGGGTTTTTTCGTAATTTACCGTAAAAAAAAGAGAGGGCCATCTTCTTCAAACTGCCCCTCCACTTTTTTGAAAAAAAATCACTACAAATCTCTCTCACACACACACACACATATACACACACAAAACTCCCATTTATATTTTCGCAGTATACCAAGTTAAAGTTACAATCTTTGTCTCAGCTGGCTGAAAACCGCTACCCAGATCAGAAGAGGAACACCAAGTATTCCAGACTCCGGCGGCGGCGGCGGCGGCGGATACTGAAGATCGATGGGCAATCAGGTGAGGGGAAATTCAAAAAAAGCCAACAAGAAAAAAGGGATTCATGAAACCATCGGCATACTCTCTTTCGAAGCCGCTAACGCCATGTCCAAAATCATCCACCTCCACAAATCCCTGTCCGAAAACGAAATCCTCAAACTCAAGAACCAAACCCTAATCTCCGACGACGGGATCAAAACCCTAATCTCCGACGACGAGCACCACCTCCTCAATCTATCCCTCCGAGAAAAACTCGACGACTTGACCAGAATCTCCGGCGTCGTCTCCCGGTTAGGCAAGAAATGCACGATCCCGGCGCTGCAGCGGTTCGAGCACGTGTATGCTGACGTCATCTCCGGCGTTATCGGCATCGATGAGCTGTCTTTCTTGGTTAAGGACATGGATTCTATGATCAAGAAAATGGAGCGGTACGTGGGGTCCACCGTCGCCTTGTACGCGGAGATGGAGGTTGTGAACGAGCTCGAGTCGGCTATCGAGAAGTTCGAGCGGAACGGCCTCGACGAGAGCCGGAGGGCTCTCGAGCAGAAGCTGACGTGGCAGAAACAAGACGTTCGCCATTTCAAGAGCGTCTCGCTTTGGAACCGCACGTACGATAAGGTTGTCGAGCTTATGGCGAGAACCGTGTGTACGGTGTACGCGCGGTTGTACGTTGTGGTTGGAGATTATAACGCTCGTGGCTCGTCGAGGGGACACTTTTCTAGGGTTTCGCTTTCGAGGTCTCGAGTTAGTAGTGTTGGCCGAGGGAGTTTTCGAATGGATGCTAGCTTGAGAAAGTCCCATTCATCTACGAAAAACGGTTGTAGTCATCGTTTAGGGGCAAAAGAGGAATTTCACAAGAACGGACGAGGCTCTTTTCGTCCACGAGATTTCAATTTCTCGTGTTGTAATTCGGCTTCCAAAGTTGATGACGATGATGATAATGATGATGTTACTTATGATGATGACGACGATGAAAGCGTTCAAATTTCAAGCTTCATTGATGCCATCGATAGTGATCGTTCAATCCGAGACCACATGATCAAGTCCAGGGGCAATTTGGTAAATTATCAAAAGTTCGGCCCGAGTAGTAGTTTGCCTCCTACAACACTAGGAGGATCGGCTTTAGCGTTGCACTACGCCAACATCATCATCGTCTTGGAGAAATTACTAAAATACCCTCACCTGGTCGGTGACGAGGCTAGGGACGACTTATACCAGATGCTCCCGACCAGTCTGAGGGCGAAACTGAAGACGAGTTTGGGATCATATGTCACGGACTTGTTTATATACGAGGCTCCTATGGCCCACCATTGGAGGGGGAGGCTCGATTCTATGATGAGATGGCTCGCCCCGCTGGCGTAATTTATGAATAAACTCCTTATGCGATGATCTGAATTATATGTGTGATGTGCTTGTTGGTCTGAATTATATGTGCCGGTACGAGCAGCAGCAAAATGCGATGATCGATTGTTCGAGTAGTTTTGACTCTGAAGATCGATTCGGGGCCTCGGTTTAAATGTTGATATTTAATATTTTTTTAATTACTTTGATTTATTGGTGTTGGTGTTGATTTGATTTTTTATTTATTTCTTCATCTTAAC